AGTTTCCATAATCTTTGGGACACTGCTAAAGCAATCATAAGCGGGAAGTTCATAGCAATTAGTGCACATAAGAGGACCATGGAAAGAATGCAAATGGATCACCTAACATCATGCCTCACAGAATTGGAAAAGCAACAGCAAAAAGATCCAAAAAAACTCCAGGAGAAAGGAAATAATAAAGATTCGAGCATAAATAAATGAAATAGAAAATCAACAAACTATACAGAAAATAAATGAAAGTAAAAACTGGTTCTTTGAAGAGATAAACAAAATTGATACACCACTAGCGAGACTTATTAAGAAGAAGAGAGAAAGAAACCAGGTGAATCAGATCTGCAATGAAGCAGGCAAATAACAACAGACATAGTAGAAATTCAAAACATTATTAGAGGATACTATGAACATCTGTATGCCAAGGAATAAGATAATCTAGATGAGATGGATAAATTCCTGGGAATATATAATCTACCTAGATCAAGCCAGGAGGATAAAGAAAGTCTGAATAGGCCCATAACAAGCCAGGAGATTGGTACAGTAATGAATAACCACCCAACAAAGAAAAGCCCTGCCCCTGATGAATTCACCTCTGAATTCTACAAAACTTTCAAAGAAGAGTTAACCCCATTCTGCTCAAGTTATTTCTAAAGATCCAAAAGGGTGAGTCTCTTCCTAATTCATTCTATGAAGTCTCTATCACCCTTATCCTTAAAACAGATAAGGACAGGACAAGGAAGGAAAACTATAGACCAATATCCCTGATGAATATAGACTCAAAGATTCTCAACAAGATACTAGCAAACCATATCCAACAACTTATAAAAAAGATGATACATCATGATCAGGTAGGCTTTATTCCAGGAATGTAAGGTTGGTTCAACATACACAAAACCATAAATGTAATACATCATATTAACAGGAATAAGGATAAAAACCATATGGTCATATCGATTGATGCAGAGAAAGCTTTTCCACTAAAAACGGGTACAAGACAAGGTTGCCCACTTTCTCCCCTCCTCTTCAATATAGTACTAAAAGTCCTGGCCAATACAATCAGAAAAGAGGAAAAAATAAAAGGCATTTGAATAGGAAAAGAAGAGGTGAAACTCTCTCTATTTGCAGATGACATGATTGTATAAATAGAAGACCCAATGGTTTTCATGAAAAAATTTCTGGAAGTAATACATGAATTGAGTAAAGTTGCAGGATACAAAATTAATATCTAGAAATCTATAGCATTTCTATATATGAACAACAGGCAGACTGAGATAGAACTGAAAAAAGTTGTTCCATTTACCATAGCCACAAAAAGTATAAGATACTTAGGGACAAATCTAACCAAAGAAGTTAAAGACCTCCACAAGGAAAACTATGAGAAGATAAAAACAGAAATTGAAAATGACACAAAAAAGTGGAAGGATATCCCATATTCCTGGATTGGAAGAATTAATATAATCAAAGTGGCAATTCTACCCAAATTAATCTATATATTTAATGCAATGCCAATCAAAGTATCAGACACATTCTTCACAGATCTAGGAAAGACAATCATAAAGTTTGTCTGGAATCATAAAATACCTCATATTGCCAAAGCAATTTTGCAAAAGAAGAGTGGAGTTGGCGGCATCACACTCCCTGACCCAAAAATATACTACAAAGCTGTGGTTATTAAAACAGCATGGTACTGGCACAGAAACAGACAGGTAGACCAATGGAACAGAAGAGAATTATGTTCTTTAAGAGTATAAAAAGATAGGCCAGGGGGCCTGCATATATGTTTTCAAAATTTTATTGATTTTTGTTTTTTTTGTGCATGAAACATTCTTATTGAAAAGTTTAAAAAAATAGTTTAAAAAGATAATAAAGAGAGCAAGAGTAAAGTTTGGGTTACAATAGGTTAATGGCCTTAATGGTAGTGATGGTTTCACTTATTCCCAGGCTCATCAGGATGTATACATCAAATATGTATAACTTTTTAATGTCAACCACACCTCAACAAAGTGGTTAAGAAAAAAAATAAAGCACTTTTTCTAGAAAATACATATATTTAGCTACTGGGAGTCAATTAATTAATATGTGGAACTAAGCTATAATTATTGATTTATTTGTTTAGGTCATCATTTTCAATTACAAAAGAATTTATCTTGAAATTCAATGAAACACAAAATCCAGCAGAGGAGGAAAAGCTGTTGGACCTAGCTAGGAAAAACATTCTCAGATGTAAGGTAATGGTACTCTCCTTGATAACTCAGTGTGTAAATATTCTTTTCTGGTTGGTGGATGATTACATGTTCTAAAATACTGGAAAAAATTTAAGAACATATTTCTATTTCATTTTAAATAGGATAATTAAAATATTAACACAAATTAAATTTAGAGCTCTTAACTAAGTAATTCAATGTCAAATTCCTTTTTTTTTTTTTATGAGAGATTTTTCCTATAGGGTGCATGTGCTCTCTAGAGAGACACAGAGAGACAGAAAGCGAGAAATCACACCCTGGAGGGGATGGTTATGCTGCAATCCCCTTTCCTCCACTCTCTTCTTGGGATTTTGGGCATGCACGCACACGCGCCTGGCATGAGTTTTAAGTCCATGGGCAGGGACTCAAATTATGGTCAATTACGGAGGAGTCCAGTGATGTAACCATTTCGCCATCTGCCGGTCTCAATGTTAATGGCTTTTTAGGTGACTCCCATTACTGAGGATGATAGCTGTTGACAGTAGTGTAAGAGTCCACAGCAAAATAACAAAGGCTAGTACATTAACGTATATTATGAAACATTACTTTTTCCTAAAACAGTTGATTTACATGTGATTTGTCTCAAAGAAGGAATAATGCTTTTTAAACTTCCACGATACTTGCAAAACGTCCTTTATTTTCTCTCTGTAACAAACTGTTCTTCACCTAACTTGTGAAGACTATAGTTTTAGAGAGTATGACATTAATTCCTAAATTTTGAACAGATATCCAGACAATGCAGGAAATGAAATAAGTCCTTGCTTTGCCTTTCCTTTCCCAAATTCAGTTAAAGCTGCCAGAGAAATAACATGCATATGATTTTGTTTTGATACCAAATGATTAATGAAATAAAAGCTATGCAAAACTGGGACAAAAATTAAGCTCCCTTTTTTGTTGTGGTGGCTATTTTCTAGTTCATGATTGCCCGTATCTTTGAAAAATGTAAAAAAAAATATCCATTTAAAGCATTTGGTTTAGAAAAAGTATATACTTTGGGTAAGTACATGCAGACAGGTGCCAGTGAGCCTGCCAGTCCCCCAAGTAGTCAAGAGAGAGTGGGGTAGTCTCGACCATCTTCCTCATGTTCCTGACACTGGTCTGTCCATAGTGACATAGCTGGGATTTCCCAGCAAACTGGCACCTTATTCAGTTCTGTTAAATCATATTTCTTTGATACCTCTTCTTATGAAATCAGTTTCATTTCTTGGGGGAAAATGAGATCGAAGAATATTGTCTAGAAAGTGAAGAGTGAGAATTATTTTCAGCAAATACCTAATGATATTATTGTGAATATTAGAAAATACTCTACATTTTCACATCTATACACTTTGCATAAAACATCAAAAAGTACAAATACAAAAAGCAAAAAAATGATAGTTTTATACAATAAGAGCCAAAGAAAATCAGCTTCATGGAATAACTCAAAATGTAGTTAAGGGATAACAAAAATAAATGATAAATAAATGAATGCTTGCACATTTTGATTTGCCTTTTTCATACTGCCCCATAACAGAGAAAGCTGGGTCTCCGAACCCTGGGATCCGGGAAGCACGTGCATCTTCCTGCTGCGTGGACAGAAGTGGTCTACCTGGCTCAGTGCAAAGGCGAAATCCAAGACGGTGTGTTTCTGACCAAGCCCTTCTTAACAGTCCTGGGTGCTTTCCTGAGCAGAGCAGCAGTGAAGGTGCCATGTGAGACCTTCAAATTGAAGAGGTTGTTCAGGAACCAAGACTGTTCTCCTTCTCCAATCAAAATATTTTATGATATGCCATTATGGAAGTTTCTTTTGTAATTTTGAATTTATGAATTTGACTGCTCAACTTTTTAATTACAAAGTTGTTTTAAAACATTTTGCTCAGCATAGTCTTTATTACTTTTTCTAAAATTAGTAACTAATTAAAAAGTAATAGAAAATGTCACTTAGTGATTTCCAATTACAATAGACACTATATTTTACAAAACTTGTTTTTCCATTTTATAATTCTCACTTATAAAATATTAATCAAATGGCCATTTGTTTTTACTCATTTTAAACAGCAAGCTTTACTCATTACCTTTTCATTTATCACTTCTTTCAAATATGCGCTAAACTAAGAAAGGAATTAAATAACATTATTTTTAAGGAAGTAGAATTCCTTTTGTCATTATCCTCAGCCTTAAGTGGATGCCTTTTAGAATGAATTTTAGAATGTTAACCACATGAGGCCAGAGAGTATTTTCTGATGTAAATTGGGTTTGTAGAGCTGTCTGGGAGGTTTTAAGCAAGAAGAAGAGTAAGAACTAATTTTGTATTTAACTCCCCTCTATAATCCTTTATTATAGTGCCATCCGCAGCCTGACCTTTCTAAATGTGTAGATGACAGTGAAGTAAAATGCATTCAGTTTACCAGCAACTACAGTCCTTGGTTTAATTGACTATTAAACCTCAGTTTTGTTTGGCATCTTGCATTCATGGGACTCAGAAGAGATTGGTCCTTGTCTGGTCCTAGGGACTGGATCATGGTGGATCTAAGTCAATTACAGCAGTCCCCTTTTACTTGGCAGTGACTAGAGGAGGGCTACTCACAGTCCTGACCAAAGGGATCTAAAGACAGATCAATCTGGAGTATGTTTTGTTGACTTGCTTTAGAAAAGGACATGGCTGGATAGCCAGCAGGTGGTGTAGAGATTAGGGTTTCTGGATTCCAGATGGCCAACTGTGAGGTTCAAGTCCCAGACCTAGAGGTTAAAAAAACATGCTTTCTGTCTCTCTGTCTTTCTGGCAAGCACATGCACCCTATAGCAAAAACCTCTCCAAAAAAACAAAAACCAAAAAACAAAATAGACCAAACTAAGAAAAACATAGGGTGTGTGTGCATGTATGCCCAATATCTCAAGAGGAGAAAGAATTGTGGCATGGCCATCTTCCCTGTGGGATGCTTTCTCACTTCTTATCTCTCATCCTCTTTCTCCAGTGGGCCCACATGTCCTCTAACAAACTGAAGAAACCAAACCTGACTGGTAGAAAGCATCCCTTCCTGCTGTACACCGTCTTTTCCTCCACTTTGCTTGCTAAGAACATAACGCCTGGAGATGTGCACTCTTCAGAGTCACATCAAGGGGCTGAAAGATGAAAAGAAGGTCTGTACAGAGGGCCATGGCATTAACCAGCACTGGGACCTTTCCAGTTCTGATCTTGTGAAACGAACATCTTTATTTTGAAGGCATTTTTAATTGAAATTTCTGTCACACAGCCACGTGGGCATGACTTCTCCCCATTTCCATGGCTGAACAGCCCTCCTAATGGGTGCAGGTGATGCCTGAACTCTTGCCCACTCCTCCCTGGATAGTCCCCTCTCCACTTAGCAGCGACCATTCTACAGCGTTACTGATTCCCAGTGGCGTCTGATTCCTTCTGATAAGCCTTCACCTCACATTATGGCCAGACAGGCCCCCTGCTTCGTCCCTCCTTGTTCATTACGCTGCAGTCAGACCCGTTCCTTCTTGGCACCTAGAACATGTCAGGGGTTTTCCTTCCTTCAGTCTTTGGGTCTCTTCCTAAAATATTTACATGGCAGCTCCTCAAAACCTTTGTAAGACTTGGAGTGCTCCCTTCTCTAGGTCCTTCGCTCCTTGTTTGTCCTCCTCCTGTTCCACGGGGGCCTTGTTTTCTCTGCCATTGTTTTCTAGTCTTCTGTTCTCGTCTACAGCAGTTATGGTTAGCACTGTCTTTTGCCATCCAGGTTTGTCCTGTTTCTCACCATTCTTAATGTAGCCTGGGGACCTATTCAGTGTCAGGCACAAGGGCGAGGACACTTTCCATGTAATCTCTCCACCTTGGTGGTTTTATGAGTTGCACTTCCTACATGGTGCTCCCAACTAGGATCAAGAGAAGCTGTTTTGCCTTTTCCTATCTAGCCTTGGAAGTCACACAATGTCACTTTTGTCACATTCCAGCAGTTGAAGCAGTCAGGCGTAAGGGGAAGGGAGCATAGATGTCATCTCATGATGGGAAAGCTTCGTAGTGTTTACAGATATGTTGTAAACGCACAGTCTGCTCTCAGTGACCGAGCCAGCAGGTAATTTCAAGAATGACTTACAGAATGTAGAAAAGAGGATGGTTTTTAAATGATGGAGTTGCTCATTTTTAATATTTCAGAAGCTTTAAACATGCTGTATGCTTCCCTGGACCATGCATCTTTTGATTCCGACCACCTGCCTGCCTTGTTTTTCGTTGCGGAATCCGTTCTGTACAGGCTCTGCTGTGACGCGTTCCAACAGACGTACCTCTACTCGGTGGAGATAAAGCTGATGAAGGTAAGCATTCGAACAGCTTTCTTCAGTGTTGCTAATTGTTACATAACCACAGGGCATCTGTTTTAAATCACAAGACATTCACTTTTATTATGGAATATTCTCTTGTTTGGTAGTTTATTTTAATCAGCTCTAAATACAAATAGTACATTATTGCTTGATATCCAAAAGCAAATAGTTTTAGAAAATATAATTTTGCAAACTATGTGAAAAAAATATTTAATTAAAGTACTAGTTTTTCTGAGTGTATATAGATTTTCTCTTTTCCAGCTTAAGGATTTTTATTCCACTTCCATTTCCTTAAATGGCTGCCCTATTTGAGAAAATGAGTTGTTCTTTCAGAATTTGTCATTTCAGAATTTCAAAGTGGAAATCATCTTCACATTTCATGTGGCTTATGTTTTGTGAGGTCCCTGCATACTATTTACAGATATGTGCGTGTATGTATATATGCACACGTAAGCACACAGCACACCCACTTGCACTCACTGGACAGTGACAGTGGTAGATACCATGTGGCTCTTTGTGCTTTAGCACTACGCAGCCTTCAGCCCATTCGTTACTATAGTTTGTGTATTCTTTCTAATTTTCATAGTTTTGCAGATATTCCGTCTTATGCCAACTCTTTTGGCCCAGTCACTGTGGCCCAGGGGCGGGATTGCTGTGTGATAATGGAGCCATGTGGGAAGGTCCCAGATTTGGGCCCCAGGCTGACATGAGCAAGCTGCAGGCACAGGGATTGTGGCTGGCCGGAAGGTGGAAGGTGGGGTGGGTTATGGTTTGACAAGACCCTGCTGGGGAGCAGGGAGTCAGGAGGGGTCTCTTTCTGTGCCTCAAAATAAACAAGCAAAAACCAAACAAGGTATTTGTAGCTATACATATATTTTAATCTGCCTAATGTAAGATTCTACAGTCGTGATTTCGTGATGACATTGCCTCAGGGTACAGGGAGCTCAGTACAGCATACTATGTACAAGCAGAACACGTCCCAGTTGTATGTGGGGCAGTGGTCCTCAGACCGTTTGGACCGACACCCACAGCAGAAGACAGCCTTTGCGTGGAACCCAGCACACAGGGTACCCTCTTTCTGTCTGGGAACGAGGAACGTGCAGAGTGCTGTGATGCTTTCTCTTCTATTTAAAAATCTCCTCTCAGTCGATTCCATGACTCACTTAAGGGCATGGCTTGCAATTTGAAGTACGCTGTTCTACAGGATATGGAACAAAATAGCATTCAGTATTGGTCATTGTACGTAATGTGGGGATGATTTATGGACGTTTCTTGACTGAACAAGCATTTCAATCTTGATATCAATGTTTTAAGGTTATCCCCAAAGCTCATACTATAGAGTGAGTTTGAAATTGTTTGATCAGAAGGAAATGTAATAATAAAATGGCTTTATTTTCCTTATGGTTTTTAAACATTTATTGATGCAACACAAAACTGCCGTTTTTCTTTTTTCTTTTGACAGATTGGCTATTTGGTCTTTTTACGACTTTTTGTATTTTTCCTGCATGGTCACCTAGAAAGTTTTAAAGAACATTTACTGAGGCTTCAACCATATTTATACGGTAGGATATATTTTATTTTTTATCACTGTTTTATGTTGTATTTTGCAAGCTCAGGCTGTCACTGTGAAGAGTGTAAGCTGTATTTTATTTACCATGGGTGACAACAGGTGCCATGCAGACAAGCACAGCCTCTGGGCCAGACTGCATTGCTCAGCCTCTCCCCTCCCCCAACACACACACACACACACACACACACACACACACACACTCTCTTACATACTCTCTTATCATTTCTTTATGGTGAAAACACTGAAGACCTATTGTTCTAGTCATTTTGAAACATAAAATATACTAGTATTAACTATTATCATCATGCTGTGCAGAGATTATTAATTTTTTTTTCTTCTTATCTAACTAAAACTTCGCGCCCTTTGACCAGTTTCTCCCCTTTCCCCGAATACCCTCCCCACTCCACCGTCTGGTAACCACAAGTCTATGTTCAGCCTCTTGCTTTCCTACTTAACTAAGGATATGGCCTTGCTTGTGACCCAGTTTCCTCTTCTGTCATACTGTTTATCTCGCTGGCTTCCAAGAAAGTTTCAGTTCCTGGTTGGTCAGATCACCCTCATAGCCACGGAGGGGTGGACCGAGGTGAGGAGAGAATGGATACAGCAAGCTAGTTAGCTATGCCGTTGCTAGAGGAAGCAAGGTTAGAGATTTGGGCTGTCGTAATGGGCACGGTAAGGAGTAAGATAGTTTCGAAAAATGCTGAGGAAATATCAGAGGCCAACTTGGTGCTCAACTGAAACTAAGCTGTGGGCGAAGGAAAGAGAGCTTCATGAAGAAGCTGAAGTTTCCCATAGCGAGTAACAGGGTGAAGCCAGAGATGCTCCAAGTGGAGTATTTTGGAAGAATTTTGGACATATTCGATGTGCAGCACCGTCAGCAGCAAGCAGTTGAAGACATGGCTCTGGAGCTGGAGAAACAAGTGAAACTGGGCTGTCCACGTGACAGTCATCCGTGTCAGTGTGGCCGAGGCGATCTGGGGGCAGGAGCTGGGATGGGAGAAGCGAGTCCTAGGGATAGAGTCTTGGGGAACACAAGCGCTTAATGGATTATTGGAGTAATAGAGCCCGGTAAAAGAGAGTAAGGAAAGGAAGGGAGAAAGGCAACATCTAAGAGGGAGATTCAAGAAGAACATTATCAAGAGCTGTGGAAATACGAAATAGTAGGAGGTCTGAAGAGTGCTGCTGGGTTTCTGCACTGGGGGAGCCACTGCCGATCTGGGGATCCTCAGTGGAGAGGCGGAAGGAAATGAATTCAGACGCGGTAAACCGCAGTGAGGGGAGACAAACTCGGTGATGGTCGTGTGCTGCTGAAGATGGGGCTGCTTTCTAAGAGACGTGCCCTTAGATGATATCGTGGTTGCAGATACACAGGGTGCCTGCTAGCAACTTTGAAACAGAAAAGGCACCATTACTAACTCCAGTCACCGAGCTATGCAGAGATTACTAGGTATTTTTCTTCCCATATAACTAAAACTACACCCTTTGACTAACCTCTCTTTCCCTACGTAACACCGAAAAAAAATTCCCTACGTACACCCCACCTCCAGAGAGGTGAGGAACACAGACTTAGATGGTGCGGCCTACTTCACACCTAGGGGTAATCTGACAGCACCACTATTGTCTTTGCTGTTGTTGACAAACGTTGTGTGGTGGGTGACTGTATTTCAAAAACTTATCTATAAGCGTTTATATTGACACGTAAATATGTCAACAAGGTCAAAAGAAAAGGTAGAATAAGGGAGGTATTGTAGGATAAGGGAGGGGGAGACCCAAGATGTAAGGAAGTGAAGGCCATTTTTTTTTTTTTTTTTTTTAGGTTTTGCCTCTCTCTGCTCAACAGAGACAGTGAGAAGGAAAGTGAGAAGTCCGCCCCCACCAAGGGGGTTGGCAGCCCACCAAGGGGGTTGGCCAGGCTGCAATCCCTTCTCTTCCTTTCTTTTTTCAGGATCTTGGACACACATGCACATGCAACGTGCATGTGATTTGAAAATCCGACATGATTTTCAAGCCACCAGGTCTGGGACTTGAACAATGGTCAGCCGTGTGGGAGTTCAGCAACCTAGCTACTATAGCATCTTCTGTCCCCCAAGGGAATGCTATTTGATGGAAGAAGTTATGGAGAAAGGAGTAGAAGGAATGGGGGAATGTTTCGGAGATGCCCCATGACTACAAGTTCAGCTAGAGCCTTAGACCAAGAGGAACAGGATAGAACAGGAATTCTTATCTATCATGTCACTCATTCTGATTTCTTTATTAATTATAAACCCTCGTTTTAGCTCCTCCCAGTGGTCAGCATGGTGATGTGAGATATTCAGGTGATGAAGGCAGATATATATATATTTTTTTTTTTTTGAGAGGTTTTTGCTATAGGGCGTATGCACTCGCCAGAGAGACAGAGAGAGACAGAGAGACAGAAAGTAAGAAACCACCCCCCTAGGTGGTTTCTTACCCACAATCTCTTCTCCTCCATTCTCCTCTCGGGATCTTGGGCATGCACACACACGCAAGTCGGCGTGAGTTTTAAGCCACCAGGTCCAGGACTTGAACTGTGGTCGACTACATGGGAGTTCAGCGACATAGCTATTACGCTAACTGCTGGTCCCAAGACAGATATGTTTTGAGCAATTATTTGAATAAGACCTTGAGTTCCCATATTGGGTAGTTATTGTGGGTATGTCCCAAGAATGCCAATGTCTCTCTTTGCAGAATGATAACACCCTTAGATTTTTTTTTTTTTTGAGATGTTTTCGCTATAGGGTGTGTGCGCTCGCCAGACAGACAGAGAGAGACATATAGACAGAAAGCGAGAAATCACCCCCCAAAGGGGATAGTCACGCTGCAATCCCTTCTCCTCTATTCTCCTCTCAGGATCTTGGGCACGCACGCACACGCACCCAGTGTGAGTTTTAAGCCACCGGGTCTGGGACGCGAACCGCGGTCGACTACGTGGGAGTCCAGCGACATAGCCATTACGCTAACTGCTGGTTCCTTGGATTTTGCTCTCTTACAAAATGCTGTTAAGTAGAGGCTTAAGCAGCATCTCTGTCTTCAGCATGGGCTGCTTTCTACCAGTGCTTTTGTAGCCACTGCCTTTCCATGTGCCATTACTAACCCTTCTCTGTGTGGATGAACACAAAACTAAGATAGTTCTGTTAAATATCACATAGTTATAGCAAATGATGTCATCTTTGCCTACATTTAACATGGGTATTTTAAAATAACAGTAACAACAACATCTTGGAAAGGAATAAAACTGGAGAATGTCAGGTTAGAAGCAATGACATTGGTTTATGTATAGGATTGCGATAGCAAAGTATCCATTATGAAGAGTTATCAGTTTCTCTGATAACTTGATTTATTTTCAGCTGGAAACTTCCAGGCATTGTTGAGCAGTAACTGTATTTAACTGGGCATTCAACCATTATGCAATTTCTCTTCTGAGTTACATAAACGCCAATGTACAAATTATTTACTTTGTAGTTTTACATTTCACCACCAGGGGGCATACATAACATTATAGATCTCAACTGGGGAATGGACAGCAATTTGAGCATCTAAGTACTGAATTTAATTATAGTTTAATAACTAAAATACAAATGAAGCACAATGTAAGATATTAATGAAGTATTTCTCACAAATGATTTTTCTTACAATAGCACTCTTTTTCTCTGGAGAATCATATCACAAGTATCCAAACATCTTTGCAAATGTGCAGTTTATCCTCAAGACTGCAGAAATTATATGCAAAAGAGAACTCCCTTCTGAATCGATTTTTGGCCCTGAGGAAAACAAGGAGAGCTCTGAGAACACAGATCCTGACGTGGTGGGTAGTGTGCCGTGGTGCGTATCCTGGTGCATGGTGTATAGATAAGATCACTGTGAGTAGGTGAGCTCGCCAGCACCGTAGGCACTGCTGAAGTCGGGTGCTGCCGGGGAAGCCTCATCCCGTGCACCCTCTGCGCATTCCCTGGACGGTACTCACAGCAGCAACAGTGGGGCATCAGTGTGCACCTCCTGCATTTGATACTTTAATACTCCTTTAATGCTCTCTTCCCCTTAGTTCTGTCTCAGCTCTTTACTGACAGTGGCAGCGTGTTTTAGACTGACTTATGAATGAACATTTTAGTTAAAGGGAAAGCATGTGAAGTGCAGGTTACTCATGAAAGCAAGTGTAACATTTTTGTAATCCATAATTCATATGTAGTGGCACCTAATATGCCATTCTAATCAACTGAAAACTTAATAATTTGAAGAGTTAAAATAACCCACAGCATGTGAAAAATATTTTAATTTCTAAGTCAGGTATTAGTAATTAACTTTAGAGAAACTCTCTGTCCTAGTTACACTGGGTCACTGGAAAAGTCATGATGTTTTTTTCTTCTTAATGCAAAAAGCATTGTGACTTTTGCAACCACCCAATATAATTGGTTGGTATGTAATAAACCATAATTATAGAAACACAAATAAGTGAGCCACATAACTGTGCATATACCTTATAGACCAATGAACTTCAAAAAATCGACCTCAGTCATGGGCTCAATAATGCTCTTATTTCCCTTCCTCACATCTTTTCCAGAAGCGAGCAATGAGTACTTCAGAATCTTGACTCTGTTATTATCTTATTTTTTGTGATACATGATTATTATTTTATAGTTTATAAATTAAAATTTTGTTTTTCTAATGGTTTCTAAAACAGGAAGAATAAGCTTTTAACATAACGTGAGTAGAAACACCTAAGGAAACGTAAGGAAGACTCTTCTTTTAAATAGCTTTATTTATGTGTCACCTGGCAGTTTTCCCATGCCTCCCGTGGGCCTTTTCTAAAATTAGCTATAAGCTAAATAGACAAGAAAAAACATTTAACTGCATCTATTTGTAATCTTTCTAAGACTCAGGGATTTCTTTTTGGCTCATTACTGGTGAATCGTTTATACAATGTGTGACATTTGCTAAGTAATTTGAGCCTTTTAGTTCTAATTCCTAATGAACACAAATTGCTTCCTGGAAATGAGAGATCTTGCTTTAAGTTTAAAAAATGTTTCAGTGATAAATATATAATGTAAGACATTGAGCCACATAAAAAAACACTGGTTAGAAAAGAAACATCTGTTCATTCTCCAACTGGCTCTGTGACGTAAGGCTCTGTCCAAGCCTCCATATGTTTATTGTTACAAAGTCATCACCGTCATTATCATTGCTGTCATCAGCACCGTCATCATGTCTGTCCAACTGGATTAGGATTGTTGGAAAGATTTCAAAAAAGCAAATACTTCATAGGTTATTAAGTGCCATGCGAATGTAGATAATGATTCCTAAAAAATATATTTAGGAATTGAGTTAAATATTAGGTTTGTGCAAAAGTATTGATTGTGGCTTTGCATTAACATTTTCCATTTGATATTGGATACATTCTTAAATGTGCTTATGTTATACATCACTTCAACATACATTTCTTGCTTTATGTTTTTTTGAAAATGACTTATTACTTGCAGTTTATTTTATATGCATTTTAGGCTATGTTAGACAAAAAGCAATTCAGGTGATTTTCTTATTTGAGTTCAAAAGGATCATGAAGCAACAGACCCCTGACATCAACAGCACACTGGCCCAGGAGCTGCTAACGAACCTACGGTGTGGGGGTGGCTCAGGAGGTTTTTGCGAAGGAGACGAGAGCCTTGAGGTGAGCAGCATGGTGGTCGGCCGTTGGAAGATGGCAACAATCAGCTGAGAGCAATCGTCGAAGCCGATCCTCTTCCAGCTACACGAGAAGTTGCCAAAGAGCTCAGTGTCAACCATTCTATGGTGGTTCAGCTTTAGAAGCAAATTGGAAAAGTGAAAAATCTTGGTAAGGGGATATCTCATGAGCTGATTGAAAATCAAAACTATGATTTTGAAGTGTCACGTTCTCTTACTCTACACAACAATAACATACCATTTCTTGATAGGACTATGGGACATACCATGAAAAATGGATCTAATTTAACTAGCTCAGGGACTGAGTTGAGGAGAAACTCCAAACGCTTCCCAAAGCCAAACTTGTGCAAAACAAAGGTCCTGGTCACTGTTTGGTGGGGTCTGACCCAGTACAGCTTTCTGAATCCTGGCAAAACCATTCCATCTGAGAATATACCCAGCAAATTGATGAGGTGCACCAAAAGCTACAATTCCTTCAGTCGACACTGATCAGCAGAAAGGGCCCAGTTCTTCCTGACGATGCCCAACCGCAGGTCACACATTCAACGCTTCAAGTAGAATGAATTGGGCCATGGAGTTTTGCCTCATCCACCGTATTCACCTGCTCTCTCACTAACCAACTCCTACTTCTTCAAGCATCTCAACAACTTTTTGCAGAGAAAATGCTTCCACAGCCAGCAGAATGTAGAAGGTGCTGTCTAAGAGTTCACTGCATCCTGAAGCATGGATTTTTATGCTACAGGAATAAACAAATTTATTTCTCATTGATTGTAATGGTTCATATTTTGTTTAATAAAGATGTGTCTGAACATAGTTATAATGATTTAAAATTCACAGTCCAAAAGTGCAATTGCTTTTGCACCAACCTAATATAATAATTTTCATTTAAGGATATGATTATGTTGACTTAATGTAATGAAGTGGGTGTTTTTCTTTTAAACAGAGAAGAAACCATATCATGATGACAACATCAATATTCTGGTTGAGAGGCAGGCAACTTCTGGTGTTGATTCCAATACTCCTAAGAGTGAATTCACTTCTGTCAGTCTTGGTGCATACATGCAGCAAGCAAATGGAGCTTACAACGGGATTGCTCAACCTGAATTCAAAAGGGCATAAATGTCAACACATGCAAAGAACATACAGGGTCAGCAGGTGGTATAGTGGTTAAGATGCTGGAATCCATGTGGCTGATTGCGTTTTGAGTCCCAGAGGCTTGAAACTCATGCCAGGCATGTGTGCATGTGTGCCCAAAATCCCAGGAGAAGGATAGAGGAGAAGCATTGCACTGTGGCCATCCCCCCTGGGAGTTGATTTATTGGTTTGTCTTTCTAGCAAGTGCACATACCCTATAGCAAAAACCTCTCTCTCTAAAAAAGAAAAGAACATATTTGCTTATAGTAGGACAAGTCATTAAATCTCTCTATGCCTTTTCCCAAATAAAGGGCTTAGATACAATCTCTTCTTTTTTTAAAGTTTTATTCATTTAATTTTATTTATTATTATTTTTATATTTTTAAATTTAACCAGAAAGACAGAAAGAGAGAGAGAGAAAGTGAGAAAACAGTGGTTACCTGGTGGTTGAACTGTGGTTGGCCACGTGATGGTTTCCTGGTGGTTGAACTGTGGTTGGCCACGTGATAGTCCAGTGCCTTAACCACCACGCCACCTGCCAGCACCAGATTTAGTCTCTTCTAAATTATTTTTCAGCTTTAGCTATGAAGTCCTATGAGGGGATTTTATTATATTTCTCCTATTACCTTATAATAGAAAGCCTATAAAGGACAGTGTAGTCACAGGGCTGCCCCAATTGCTGATTGGCTAATCAGCACTGAGTCAGTGTTTGATTGTGTCTTACAGTTCTCTGGTTTCAGCCCAATTTCTCCAGTGTAGCTAAGTCGGTCTCTTTAGTTCAGTAGATTATTTACCTATTCAATTCCCAGTTCATTTGCCTTTGGGGAAGAGAAAGGAAAAAAGAGTAAAAGTAGAAACGTAAAATATCCATTTATATTCATCCTTTCTCCCATTCTCCTTATTAATATATTTTAGTATAGGGTTTTTGGATTTCAGCCCTTATCTTCTGATCATGCTGAAAGGTCTTTAGCAACATATGTTAGCTACTATAAAACATTCCTTTTTTGGCCCGCAGGTGGTATAATAGTTAAAGTGTTGGACTCCCATATGGCCAACCGTGGTTTGAGTCCTGGATCTGGAGGCTTGAAACTCATGCTAGGTGCATGTGCATGCATGTCCAAGATCCCAGGAGGAGAAAGGAGCAGGAGAAAAAGGGATTGTGGCATGTCCATCCCCCTGGGGATGATTTCTCACTTTCTGTCTCTCTGTCTCTCCAGTAACAGCATGCACCCTATAGTAAAAATCTTGGGGAAAAAATCCTTTTTATTATCTATTCATATGCATTGGAGTAAAATCATAATTACGCAAGTTTTGTTAAAGTGCCTTCAATTTGCTTTAAAATTCTGTAGGATAGATACATAAGGATCTGCAGAGTAGGGTGTTGGTTCTCTTTAAGAGAAGGAAATTTCCTTACCTCTGCTCTGGGACCCCATTTCTCCTTTTAGTGTCTGTTTAGGTGACCCAGACACAGAGTTTCTGTTGACCCTGACAAATGATATACTTTAATTAGATCTGTGTATTGCAGAGCCTGTGCTGGATTGAGTTTTCATGCTATCCTTGCTCATAAGCAAAGCTGGGTATTCTAAACACAGTTGTGGTGTTGTGATAGCAACATAGTTTTTTGGAGAAGGTATATTTAAGATCAACTCAAATGCAGTAGACTATTAAATATTTTCATCCATTCTAAAATACAAATGGTTCTCTGAGAAGTGGAAGCACACAGTTTACATTCTAATGTGATTAACAATCTCACCCTCTAACCAGCTAAATATTAGGTAAGCTAAAGGCATGATCTTAATTTGGGACATTTTGACCTGTTTTGTAATTGCAAATGGTTTCCAGGAATTGGATTAGACAGAGACAAAGGTTATTTAAAATTAGGAGCATTACCCTATGATTCATGCTCTGTTCCCCAAGTAGCACATTTGTATTGAGAGGTTCTCTCATGGCAATTTCAGGCATCCTCAAAATGACTCAAAACAAGCATGAAACCCA